CGACAAAGAAGCTACCAGACATACCTATGGCTAAACGTTTTCTAGTACCAGAGTATCACTCTTGAAGAGGTTGAGCACTTTATTTGTGGGAGATAACCTAAACAAGTTTGCTGACAGTTACGACAGTCTGTTGTGGTTACTTGATATCGCAGTTGATCAGAGAGCTCTGTTAACCCTCCTTCAATTCTATGATCTTGGTTTGAGATATTTTACATTCCAAGATTACCAATTGGCTCCCACGCCAGAGGAGTACGCTTATCTCTTGAACTTGAAAATTAGAGACATCATACCTTTTATCTGTACGTCTGAGAAGATAAGAGAGGATTTCATCACCGGTGCTCTTTATTTGAGCTTGAAGGAAGTGAAATATGATTGGAAACCAAATGATGGTGCTCTTGGTTTTACTTTTGCATTCTTAGGAAGAAAATCTAGAGATGTGGCTGAAAGAGGAAACTGAGTTGCTTTTAACACACTGCTTGCTGCCATGATCTATGGTGTAGTCCTTTTTCTAAGTAAGAAGGAGTTTGTGGATTTTGCTTCCATGTGTGTCTTTATGACCAAAAATCCTATACCGACTCTGTTGGCGGATACCTATTATGGCATTCATTCGAGGCATAAGAAGAACAGGATTGTTAATATCTATTTGCTTATGCTATATAAATGGTTCATAATTCATCTTCTTACGAAGGGTCCGTGTGTGGACACCAAGGACTCTCTTCCTTAGTTAAAGAGACTTGTTGCACTTACTTCCTTTGACAATAAATGACATTATATCTTAGGTGAAGGTTCAGGTATTATCACAAGTTTCAGAGACTTTCCCAATGTTCCTCTTATGGGAACACATATATGCATCAACTACAATCTTGTTCTGGCTTTCCGACAATTGGGGTACGCCATGAATGATCGACCCAAAGAGATATAAGTTGTAGAGACTGTGTATTTTGGAAAAGGAGAAAATCCAGAGTTGTTGCAGACAATAGGGAATGCTTGGAAAAAGATTCATAGAAGATACAGGGACTCAATCAGGAAGAAGATTTCTATTTCCAGAACTCCGTATATTGAGTGGGTCAAAAAGAGAGCTGAGACCATTTTGTTTCCTTTTCAAAGGGAGATTTCATTGTGCGAGCATCCACCTCTTGTTTTGTCTGAACCAGTTCCTATTGAAGAATACAATCAAGTTCAAGTTGAAAACATAGAACTTCATCGAAAATACCACGAGTCAAGAATGCAACTTTATGAAGCCAGAGAAGATAAGTTGAACTTGGTTCATAAACTCAAGATGGCCAGCGATGAGACTTCTGAAGTCAAGAAAGCCAAAAAAAAGACCTGGAGTGGGAAATACTTCTGTTTCTACAAATGATTACCAAAAAGCACTTAAAGATGCAGAGAAAAGACGCCTAGAATGTGTAAAGCTTCAAATGTCTAACAACAAATACAAAGGACATGTTAGAGATTATGGTAATCCTCAAGGTCTGGGGACTGAATCTGGGGACACAGTCTATCCATCTCCGACATCGAGGTCATCCTCGAGATGAGGATGCTTCTGACTTTCGTCGGTCTTGTGGACGGGTGAGAGTATAGTCTTTCCAGAGAGATTATGGTCATCATGACTGGCCATGATTAGAGTAGTGAAGGTATCTTTGGTCTTCGGTTTTGAGGAAAAGGAAGGCGGGGAAGATAGCTTCCCACAGACGGTGTCACCGGTCTTACCGGTAATCAGAACCTGGAAGTGGGCCGAAGGATGATGTATGGTTTGCTAGAAAATTGAGGAAAAAATGGGGATTGTACCTGCAAGGCACTCCAACGATCAAGTAAGAATGGATGCAAAGAGATACAAGAAAGATATTAGGGTTTTAGGTTTAAATATTTGATACCAGGCCCTCACATGTGTGAGGGTTTATATAGTGCCCCTGGTGCTTGGCCAATGGTCCCTATTTTTGGGCCTAGATATGCGGGTCCGCAAAAATAGGTAACTGCCAGGACTTGGTCAAAACGGGCAGTCGTGCCCGTAATTAGCCGTTGCGTCGAGCAAGGATGAGATGACGGACATAAGCGTTTATAAACGTTTCTTGGGTGTCCGCTCTTCTTGCATCGAGTTAACTGAGAGATGGCTGCTCGCACGGGCAGGTGCATGTTTCAGGCATCGTTGGTCGTGCCGCTCGAGGGCACAGTCGACCAGAGATGCTGAGCCAACATTGTTGGGTCATGCCAATGGTAGGAGCGGATTGGGCCAATTCTAGTTATTAGGTCAATCCAAGACACTTATCCACTAAAGACAAATAGTGATTGATGGACCACTTTTTACATGTGAGAGGGACCCCCAAATATCGAAATGGGAGAGGGTCTTCCATAAACCTGGCGAGGTTGAGAATATTCTCTTAGTATCATTGTCAACTCCTCCAAACTAAATCTTACATTTGCCAGGATTAACAATAAATCCTATGGACGTGGAGAAAATCTTAAACGCATTCATCATAAACTCGACAAACATTGAATCATAATTTCATTCACTCCAATCCACGTATTCATTTCAAAATCAAATATATACACTAGTAAACATGCACGCAATAATTATATTTTAATATTATATAAAAAATTATTTTTCTAAAATAAAGAGTATCACGATTCAATATATGTAGGGGTGGCAAAGTGGGCGGCCCGTCTTATTTAGGTTTATCCCGTTTAAGCCCGTCCAAAAATGGGGCGGGGCGGGGCACGACGGGCCAGCTTAAGCGTTCGAGTTCAAAAATCAAGTCCGCCCCATTTACTAACGAGTTGACGGGCTGGTCCACCATTTTTTTTATTTACAATTTAATTTTTTACATGATTTACAAAAAAATTAATCATTACCAAAGAGGCAAATAAAAGATATTTTTAACAACGTATAATAGAACTTCAACATATCTTAAGTCTAAATAGTTCAGAAATAAAATAAATAAAAATTACAAGAAAAAAATAATGAAACAAACTCAAACGCAATAAAAAAACGTATAAAAATAAATAAATAAACAACACACATCATCCATATTCTATTTTAAAACTAACACCTAAAATAACCTAATTGATAATTTGCACAAGACAAACAATGATAACAACTACATTGCATAAAACATTAGAGTACATGAAACAATATGACATAAAATATAAACACATGATTTTCTCACTGTTTATATCATATAGACTCTTATATTGACTGATTTCTTAATAGTTATATCATAAATTTGTCACTAGTATACACTAATAAAATCATTTTTTTCTTAAAATCAACATCTGTTTCTAAAGAAAAGATGTGAGATAATGTATTAACAACTTAATAATTCTTCACGCCATACAATTGTTCTTTTATTTTGAGCTTCTCCAACCAACACATGTATTAGAAAATTATAGAAAAAATCTTACATATATAACTCAATTTGTCTGAATAATAATTTAGAATGCAATTCAATCTATATAATCTTAAGAAAAGAGTGTTGTTTTAATAGTTAAAGTTATTTTAATTCTAAATAAAAAACAATTTAAAAAAAATAATCTCTAGGTAAAACCCAACCCGTCCCGCCTCGATCCACTTTTTTAAACAGGTTAGACGAGGCAAATCAACTTAAAATATCAAATCGAAAACCTCAATTCAGTCTATCAAAAATGATGGTTTAAACGAGCCGACTCGACCCGACAAACTCGATCCGTTTTATCACTCTAAATATATGTCTATATAAAAGATAGTGAAGTCCTAATTATTAAGTATGGGTTAGTTTTACTACATATTACTATCACATAATTATCTCATTGTCTATTCCATTGAGCCTAAAAACTCAGTTTGAAAAATTATATTATTTTTATCTTATCTAAAGTTACTCAAATCTTGGTTTACCTATCCTAAATTTATTATCAACACTTATGTCTTTCTTTTCATCATTTACCCGATACATTCCACTTTAAAAAACAACTTGGAGGTAGCTCTATAGTCTATACTAAAAAAAATTCACCTTAAAATTTGTAGTATGACTCAAATTTTTAAGAGTTTTACAAAATGATTGTTACATTTATTATCATTTTTTTATTTTTTTTATTAAAAATAATATTCATTCATTTAAATGGATATAATATATTGAATAATACAAATTAAAATTATTATAAATTAAAAAAGATGAATCTGTAAACAAATTTACAGTATTCACATTAATAATATATAACGATAAAATGTCTATAAATATCACGAAATTGAAATATTTAAAATACTCATGTCTCTGAGTCTACAGTTTTGACAATATTAAATTTTTTGATTAAATATGTATTAAGTCAAAATTAATATGTCAATCTGAATTAAACAAATATCGTACTAAGACAGAAAAATAAAATAATATTACAATAAGATGACAATCAATACAACATCGCACTAAAACGATGAAATAATGAAGAAGAAAGTTAAAAAATATATATGTGAATAACTTATTAGTAAAAAAATTAGAGGGATGATTTTGAATCGAAGAAAAAAGGGAGACACATAAACAATGATAATTTCTTATCATTTTCTCTTATATGCTTTACTATTTATGGAGGGGTGATGTGTACAAGTAGACCACTCATGTGGTATACCTATTTATAATTCTAAACTAAAAACTCACTATACCTAACAAATAAAAATTAATCTACACCCACACATGGCTCATGTCACAAATCACAATCTAGTTATTATTTACTTTGCCTAACTTTTTTAAACTACTACCTCTTTTAAAAGTGAGGTCTCATTTTCTCATAAAGATTAACTTCTATTTATACATACTCAATCATAACAGTGAGAAATAATCAACCTCAAGAATATATATACTGCTTTATTATATTAGATATAAGTTTAAATGACGTGAAGTTGAAAACTACGTTACCAAGTCTTGATTTAAGAAATATAGTTGTGAAACTTCCAAACCAAAAATTATCAAACGAAATAAGTAATACCTCAAATTACAAATTTAAGCATTCATTATTTCAAATCAACCCATGTTGAGCTATATAGATCTATGCCCCCAACTCCCATAACCCAATTCAGAATCCAAATCTCTTTCTTTGATACCTTTTGAATTCAACAAGTCTCTTTCTATGTCAAGACTTACCTTAGCAGCAGCCAAAGTTGCCTGTAGCATCTCCGTTTTCAGCTCTTGAACTGCAACATTCTCCTTCAACTTTTCAACCTCCAAAGCTTTCTCCACATAACTTTTCATTCCTAAAGCAGATTCAACTTGTGGCTCTAACCAAGTAAGATCAAATTTTGTTTTGTCAAGTTCATCCCATAAAACTTGAAGTTCCTTACATGCTTGTTCGTTAATGTCTTTCACTTTTCTAGTGTTAAGGAAATATATAACTTTCCCCATTGCAGCATACACCAATCCTACATCAGCTTGTTCGGAAGGTTGAGATGAAAGAGTTGAACATGTTTGAAGATTTGTGGCTTCTGGCTCTGAACTTGGGATTTCCACTTTCACATGGCTTGTTTGACATCCTAACATTAAGGATGCAGCTTGATTTACTGGTTTCTCACGTGTTGACTTTAAAACAAAAACCTCAGCGCCCACAATACATGTATCCTTCACAATAAACCCCTTCTCAGCGTCATGGAGTTTAGTTAACTTCATGAATGATTTAAAGCCCCAGACATTCTCCTCAGTTGCATTGAATTCATGGTTACTTTCTGTTTCAGGCAATTCCATGTATAAGAGTCGGTTTAAATTATTAAAAAATGGTCACGTATTAGCAGTTTGTAAAGAAAAAGAATTACCACGTGTGACTGTTTTGTTGGCATCCAATTGATTGAATACAACTAACTTAAATTTGACATCTCTACTCCATCCTTCAGACATATTAGCAGTTTTCACAGCCTCCAAATATAATGATAAATGTTTGATTTTATTGTTCCCCTTTGGAAACATAAGAATCCTCCTATGGAAAAACCAAAGCAGATCAATACACAAAACAGTTAAATTTGAAAGAGTTACTGCTTAATTTTAAGTTAGAATAAAAGTCCTATTTTATAGGACAGACTTAGTCTTTTAGTTGTATTCTGCTTTCCTTTATTTTAGCATAGTTGATTGTTTCAGTTATTATTTCCATCGTGTATTCAATGGCTTATTTAAGCCAATACTACAGTTAATAAAGGGATTCATTCAGTCCAATTTGTTCAGTTCTTTCTTTTAGTTTCAATATACATAAAAGTTCTCAACAATTTGGTATCAGAGCCCCCACTGGGCCTGATATATCAAAGCAGCAGTCTTTGATATCCTTGCAGCAGCAAAAGAAAAATGACTACAGAAGGGAGCTTTGTGCAACCCGCAATCCCGCGGTTTGATGGTCATTATGATCATTGGAGTATGCTAATGGAAAATTTCCTCAGATCAAAGGAATATTGGGAGCTAATCGAGCCTGGCTATGTTGAGCCAGCAAGTGGAGTGGTACTGACAGAAACACAACGAAAGAAGAACGATGAGATGAAGTTGAAGGATCCCAAAACGAAAAACTATCTCTTTCAGGCGATTGATCGAACTGTGCTTGACACCATCCTTAAGAAGGATACTTCTAAAGATATATGGGATGCTATGAAGAAAAAGTTTGAAGGAAATGCAGGGGTCAAAAAGTCTCATCTTCAAGCTCTCCGCAGAGAATTTGAAACTCTTGAGATGAGATCTAGTGAAGGTATAACAGAATACTTCTCTAGGGTCATGGCAGTGGCAAATAAAATGCGAATATACGGGGAGGATATGTCAGATATTAAAGTGGTTGAAAAGATTTTACGCTCTTTAACGGAGAAGTTTAACTATATTGTTTCTTCTATTGAAGAGTCAAAGGATATCGATGATCTTTCTATCGATGAGTTACAAAGCTCCTTAATAGTGCATGAACAGAAGTTCCAAAGACGCAGTGGCGAAGAACAAGCTTTGAAAGTTACATATGAAGGAGGAAGAGGTCGTGGTCGAGCTGGTTACAGAGGAAGGGGAAGAGGTAGAGGTCGAACGAATTTCAACAAGGCGACTATTGAGTGTTACCAATGTCATCGACTTGGACATTTTCGTTATGAATGTCCTCGCAACAATGAAGCTAATTATGCAGAATTTGATGAAGAAACGGAAATGCTTTTGATGTCTTATGAGGAGTTGTATGAAGCTAAAAGACAAGATGCATGGTTCCTTGATTCAGGATGTTCCAATCATATGTGCGGTGATCGAACTATGTTCAATGAACTTGATGAAAAATTCCGACATTCTGTAAAATTGGGAAACAACACTAAGATGGATGTGATGGGAAAAGGAAGTGTGAAATTACTGCTAAATGGAATGAACCTTGTTGTTACTGAAGTATACTTTATTCCAGAATTGAAAAATAATCTCTTAAGTATAGAGCAGTTGCAAGAAAAGAATTTGGAGATTTTGATCAAGGGAGGAAGTTGCAAGATATTTCATCCAGAGAAGGGCTTGATTATTCAAACCAGCATGAGTGCCAATAGGATGTTTATCTTGCTGCCCCAAACTCAATCCTCTTCACTAACACAATCTGATAAGTGCTTTCACACTAAAGCTCAAGAATTGTTGCATCTCTGGCACCGAAGGTATGGACATCTAAGTTATAAAGGCTTGAAAACTTTGTTGTACAAAAACATGGTTCATGGACTTCCTCAACTCTCCATCTCCACTGTGACATGCGCTGATTGCATCAACGGAAAGCAACATCGTGACTCTATTCCAAGGAAGAGTAATTGGAGAGCAACACAAAAGTTAGAACTCATTCATTCAGACATATGTGGTCCTATCAGTCCCATATCTAACAGCAACAAAAGGTACATCCTATTATTCATTGATGATTATAGTAGAAAAGCATGGGTGTATTTCTTGGTAGAAAAGTCTGAGGCTTTAAATTCTTTTAAATGCTTTAAAATCATGGTTGAGAAGGAAGCTGGGATGCCTATTAAGTGTCTACGCACTGATAGAGGAGGTGAATTTAATTCAAACGAGTTCAATGATTTTTGCAAACAAAGTGGAATTAAGAGGCAATTAACCACTGCTTATACTCCGCAACAGAACGGTGTCGCTGAGAGGAAAAACAGAACTGTTATGAACATGGTTCGTTCCATGCTATCTGATAAAAACATTCCAAAAACCTTCTGGCCGGAGGCTGTAAATTGGACTGTTTATGTTCTAAACAGGTGTCCTACTTTTGCAGTCAAGGATGTAACGCCAGAGGAGGCCTGGAGTGGAATAAAACCGTCGGTTGACCACTTTCGGGTATTTGGGTGCATAGCACACACTCATGTTCCAGAATCAAGGAGGACTAAACTTGACAATAGAAGTATTACATGTGTTTTGCTAGGAGTTAGTGAAGAATCAAAAGGATATAAATTGTTTGATCCGGTTGCTAAAAAGGTTGTCGTAAGTAGAGATATTATCTTTGAGGAGGAAAAGAAATGGGATTGAAATGAAAAACAAACAGTACTAGATTTAGAGTGGGAAGAAATGGCAAGTGAAAATGAGAGTGAAGCAAATATTGACAGGGAGAATGGTGAAACCCGTGACGAGGGAGTTGGAGAAATTGTGAATGATGATAGTGATGGTGAAGAGAGAGTGAGGCGACCTCCTACATGGATGAATGATTATGTTAGTGGCGAAGGTTTGTCCGACGATGAAGCCCACTTGGCTTTAATGGTGTCAACCGATCCATTAAGTTTCGAGGAAGCCGTGAAGAGTAAAAATTGGAAATTGGCCATGGATAATGAAATTAAATCCATTGAAAAGAATCTTACATGGACACTCATTGAACCACCTGTTGGTGCCAAAATAATTGGAGTAAAATGGATTTACAAAACCAAATACAATGAACATGGAAAAATTGACAAGTACAAGGCTCGTTTGGTTGCGAAAGGGTATTCTCAAATGCATGGAGTGGACTACACAGAAGTTTATGCACCAGTGGCAAGGATGGATACAGTGAGAATGATTGTTGCTCTAGCGGCATATAAGAATTGGCAGATTTTTCAGCTGGATGTCAAGTCGGCTTTCCTCCATGGTGAGCTGCGTGAAGATGTTTATGTGGAACAACCAAGAGGATATGAAAAAGAGGGCAGTGAACATCTTGTTTACAAATTACACAAAGCTTTGTATGGATTAAAACAAGCACCACGGGCTTGGTTTAGTCGAATCGAAGCACATTTCATTGGTGAAGGATTTCAGAGATGTGATAGTGAGCAAACATTATTCACAAAGAGAAGCAAAGAAGGAAAAATTATAATTGTAAGTGTTTATGTTGACGATTTGATTTTTACTGGAAATTGTGAAGTGATGATGTCTGAATTTAAAAGCTCTATGTTAAGAGAGTTTGATATGTCAGACTTGGGTAAGATGAGGTTTTTTCTTGGAATAGAGGTGTTACAAAAGTCTGATGGTATATATATATATATGTCAAAAGAAATATGCATTAGAAGTTTTGCATAGGTTTGGCATGATGGAAAGCAACTCAGTGAGCAGTCCAATGGTTCCAGGATTTAAAGTAAGTAAAGATGGAGATGGAAAAACTATTGATGAAACATACTACAAGCAATTGGTGGGAAGCTTAATGTATATTCATCTACTATTGACTAAGAGAGCACTTCGATATTTAAAAGGGACTGTGAATTATGGACTTCATTATAAGAAAGGAGGAGATGGTGAGCTGTTAGCGTTTACAGATAGCGACTATGCCGGAGATGTGGATGATAGGAAGAGTACATTTGGTTATGTGTTTTTAATGAGCTCAGGGGCTGTTCTGTTTCTTGGTGTTCGAAAAAACAGCCTATTGTGACTTTGTCAACGACAGAAGCCGAGTTTGTGGCTGCTGCAACATGTGTTTGTCAAGGAATCTGGATGAAAAGAATTTTAGAGGTGTTGGGACATTGTCATGGAGATGGTATAACTATAATGTGTGACAATAGCTCAACCATCAAGCTGTCTAAAAATCCCATTATGCATGGTCGCAGCAAGCATATTGATGTGAGATTTCATTTCTTAAGGAATCTTACTAAAGAGGGCACAATTGAACTAGTTCATTGTGGGACTGAAGATCAAGTTGCAGACATAATGACCAAACCATTGAAACTTGAAGTTTTTCAGAAGCTTAGGAAGATGCTGGGTGTATGTGAAATTCCTGACATAAACTAGTTGTTGTACAGCATTTAGTTTAAGGGAGGGAATGAAAGAGTTACTGCTTAATTTTAAGTTAGAATAAAAGTCCTATTTTATAGGACAGACTTAGTCTTTTAGTTGTATTCTGCTTTCCTTAATTTTAGGAACCACTTAGCATTATCAGCCTTTATTTTAGCATAGTTGATTGTTTCAGTTATTATTTCCATCGTGTATTCAATGGCTTATTTAAGCCAATACTACAGTTAATAAAGGGATTCATTCAGTCCAATTTGTTCAGTTCTTTCTTTTAGTTTCAATATACATAAAAGTTCTCAACAAAATTATTGGTGTGAAAGTGGAAATTCAGTAAGTAAATACTCATCATTACCATGGATAGCCGCCTAATATAAAAGGCTTAGATCGAACCTCATTGGTATTCAAGCGAGAGAAATTTTCAACCTTCCACGTGAATTTCTTAAACTTCTCAACGCTAGATTCTTCATGCTCCATATCTCTGCCAGGACACATGAAAAGAGTCAAGAAATTTGATTTGGAGAGTCCATAAAAGCATTTGAAAAACAAGTGGTGAAAATGCATGTAGTAAAGTATGAATTAAGAACGTACCAGTCACACCTAAGATTATGATCAAATGCAAGTTATAGTCCTTTGGTGGGTGCAGAAGAAAAGGCAAAAGCGGCAGAATTATTTTAAAGGAAATTCCGGGACAGTGGAAGAAATCGGTGCTATCGAAGAGAATTAGGGCGGAAAGAGAATTAGGGTTTGCGGGTTCCACAAAATTATGGGAAAAAACTGTTGGATTGGATTACTCTCCAACTTTTCTTGGATCACTCTCTTTCTTTCATGGGTTTGATTAGAATATATTTAAATGATTTTTACAAATTATTTTAATTTTACATGATTTGTTTTTTTTTTTAATTAATTGTTTATGGATTAAATATAATTTTTTATTTGTAAAATAATGATTTCAACTTGTATAATTGTAGAAATTTGTTTTATTATCGGTTTGAGATGTAAAATTAAATGTCTTTTGAGAAAAAAAATGTCTAATTTGTTTTAGAATTAAATATATTTTTGATTTTTTTTTGAGAATTTTGCATGGTGCTAAAACAAAAGAAAAAATAATTATATATATTACAAAAAAACCCGTTTTTTAACTACACGAAAATCACATCATAAACAATAAATTTATGCTCCAATCCATTAACTAGTGATGTGTGCAAACACGTGACAAGAGCGTTATTGACAACTCAGTTGTGAAGTGAAAATTATACCACAACATTACTATATGTAATTTACGTTGCAATATTTTACCATATAAAAATTATGTCACAAAATTCAACAATAATTGTAGATTTAATCTATTATGTTCTAGAAATTTGCCACATAAAAGTCACAGTATAAATATTTATATAGATTTAATATTATAAAATATATATTATATATTCTATTTTAATTATATTTTGTATTTATATAATATTGTTTGTAATTTTGTTTTAGATATGAAATAGAATGAAATAATCAAAATTCTATAATTAGATTTCTACATAACATAAGCATATATAATGTTTATTACCTGAATATGATAAAAGAACAATACTCTATTTCTATGATTCTCTATTGATATCAGTTCGTTCTTAAACAAATATTTCAAAAAACATTACAACTAATATGTGTGAGTATATAATGTATTTATAGTGCAATTATAGTAATAAATTTAACCTTAATAAAAAACATAGTATCTTTTGAATGAACACTGAAAATTTGGTTTTTGGTGGAAGAAAAATGGTGGAGAAAAAAAAAGAAGAAGAAAATGGTGGAGGGGAGAAAGAAGAAGAAAGAATAAGAAAATAAGAAGTGAGAAGAGATTTTGGGAAATTAACAATATATGAAATAGAATAATTTTTTCATGAGAAAATCACACCACAAATTATTGGAAATATAATTTAGTTAATGTCTACAATTCTCAATGCTTATTCTTTAATAGGGTCTTTTGACATTTTCAATTTTAGTATAAATATGCTATCAATATTGTAATTCATTCATTTCTCTATTTGATATACAATAGTAGTCCTTTTTGTTATCATTCATTGTTCATTCTTCTTCTCCCCTTTCATTACCTTGCACTAACAAATTGGTATCTAGAGCACTTGGTTCTGTTTTTCCTGGGAAACACGAGTGTTTGTGAGCTGTGTGTTTGACTTTGGTTCATTGATTTTTCTGTTGAAATCTTGAACAAAAATCCAAACAGAATCTGATTTTGTGGGTTGGCAAACAGTGTGTTTGAAGATCTGAAAAATCCGTGCAAGGTTTAAAATGAGTGGAGACAGTAGTTTGAACACTAAACTTCCAGTTTTTAATGGCAAAAACTAGAACAGATGGATGATACAAATGCATGTGCTGTTTGGTGCACAAGATGTTCTGGATCTGATTATAGATGGTTATGTACCAGCTGCAGCAAATGCAACTGAAGAACAGAGAACTGCTGAGAGGATGATGAGGAAGAGAGACCAGAAAGATTTGTTCTATATCCATCAGTGTGTGGATGAAAGTGTGTTCGAGAAGATTGCTGACTCAACAACGTCAAAAAGGGCGTGGGATTTATTGGTGAGATGTTACGGTGGTGATGCGTCAGTAAAGAAGGTGAAGCTTCAATCTCTACGAAAGCAATATGAGAACCTGAACATGAAGAGAAATGAGAAAATTTCTGAATATATCTCCAGAGTGATTCTGATCACTAATAAGATGAAGGCGTGTGGAGAAACTTTGTCTGAACAGGTAATCATAGAGAAGATTCTGAGGTCGCTTACTCCTCAGTTTGATTACATTGTTGTTTCTATTGAACATTCTAAAGATCTGGAAACCATGAGAATAGAAGAATTGCAAATTAACTTAGAAGCACAAGAGTTACGTCTGTCTGAGAGAACTTATGAGTGGGAAGCTGAGCAAGCTCTGAAGGATTTTTTTGTCAAGAAAGACCAGAAGCAGAATAGACGTGGTGATAGATTCCAGAAGTCAGAAGCCTCAACTTCTGATGATAAGAAATATCATAAAGGAAAGGAGAGGTATGATAAAAGAAAGGTTCAATGTTATTCTTGTAAACAATTTGGCCATTTTGCCAGAGATTGTAGGTCAAACAAGGAAAGGAAATCAGAAGAAGCATATATGGCTAAGAGAAACTCTGATGATGAACCTGTACTACTAATGGCTTCTGACTCTGATGGAAAATGCTCAGAAGATTGGTGGTATATGGACACTGGCTGTTCAAATCATTTAACTGGAAACAAACAATGACTAACAGACTTTGACTCTAGAAGGAGAACAAAGATCAGATGTGCTGACGATAAGTATCTTAATGCAGGAGGTATGGGAGATGTCAGAGTTAGAGTGATGAATGGGAAAGACATTATGATCAAAGACGTTTGGTATGTTCCTGGTATTAGAAGCAATCTGATGAGCGTAGGTCAGCTGATTGAGAAAGGTTTCTCAATTGTTATGAAAAACAATCTTTTGACGTTGTATGATTCTAATCAGAAGTTTATTATGAAGTCTGAACAAGGAGGCAACAGAACATTCAAGGTGAATGTAGAAATAGCTGAAGCAACGTGTCTTAGTGCAGAAGGCGCTGAAGGTAACAGTAAGCTGTGGCATAAGAGGTTGTGGAATTTGAACTATAGAAGCTTAGGGCATCTATGTTCTAAGAAGCTTGTACATGGTATTTCAAAGATTGTGAAGCCTGAGAAGTCATGTGAGATATGCATGAAAGGCAAGCAACCTAGATTGCCATTTACATCAGAAGTATCCCCTAGAGCGAAGCATACTCTGGGAGTAGTATATTCTGATGTGTGTGGACCATTTCCAGTACCTTCACTTGGAGGAAACAATTACTTTGTGTCTTTTGTGGATGAGTTTACAAGAATGACATGGGTAACACTCATCAAGTTCAAGCATGAAGTGTTTACTGAGTTCCAGAAATTCAAAGTGAAGGCTGAGAAGCAGAGTGGTCAGAAGTTAAAAATTTTGAGAATGGATGGTGGAGGTGAGTATAACTCTACAGTGTTTCAAATTTTCTGTGAGGAGAGTGGAATAGAACATGAGGTTACTGCTCTATATACTCCTCAGCACAATGGTCTTGCTGAAAGAAGAAACAGAACTTTGCTTGATATGACCAGAAGCATGCTGAAAGAGAAAAAGCTACCTCACGTGCTATGGGGAGAAGCTATTGCCACATCATCATATATTCTGAACAGGTGTCCAACGAAGAAACTGAAGGAAGTTGTTCCTTTAGAGAAATGGATTGGAGATAAGCAGAGTGTCAGTCATCTGAAGGTGTTTGGCTTTGTCTGTTACAAACATGTTCCAGAAGCTAGAAGACAAAAACTGGATGATAGAAGCAAAGTAATGTTGCTGGTGGGGTACCACAGTACAGGTGCGTATAAGCTTTATTGTCCATAAACTAATAAAGTTGAAGTCAGCAGAGACGTTGTGGTGAGAGAGTCTGAAGCATGAGATTGGAACAAATCTCAATCAGATTTTAGTGTAGTGCCAACACCAGAGTTAGCCTCTGAAGATGTTTTAGAAAGTTCAGAAGATGAATCTTATTCTGAAGATCTTGAAGATGAGTCAGAAGAAGATTCTAGAAATGGATCTGATTCTGATCCAGATGCTGATGATGATCCAGAATCTGGTGGTGATCATAGTTCTGGAAGGGAAAACTCTGAAGGTGGTAACTCTGAAAGTAGTAGTTCTGGTGCAGCTTCAGAACAAGCTCAAAGACCACAGAGAATCAGACAAAAACCAAGAAGGTTTGCAGATTTTGACATGTTGCAGGATAATGAAGTTGACTCTGAAGGAGAATTCGTTCAGTGTGCCATGTTAGTAGATTCTGAACCAGTGGGCATCGAAGAAGCTCTCAAGAAGAAAGAATGGCTTAATGCCATGAAAGAAGAACTTGAGGCAATAGAAAGGAACAAAACTTGGAAATTGACTAAACTTCCAGATAAGAAAAAAGCCATCAGCGTCAGATGGGTTTTTAAGTTGAAACTTAAGCCAGATGGTTCAATTGGCAAGCATAAAGCTAGACTAGTAGCTAGAGGTTTTCTTCAGAAACCTGGGCTAGATTACTTTGAGGTGTTTGCGCCTGTAGCTAGGCATGAAACAATCAGACTGGTGATTGCTTTAGCTGCAAACAAAAATTGTCCTTTAATGCATCTGGATGTGAAGTCTGCATTTCTGAATGGTCCATTACAGGAAGAAGTTTATGTGTCACAACCTCCTGGATTTGTGAAAAAGAATCAGGAAGGGATGATATACAGGTTAAATAAATCCCTGTATGGACTGAAGCAAGCGCCTAGAGCTTGGAATCTGAAAATTGATTCATTTTTCAAGAAGCATAGGTTTTAGAAATGTGAGATGGAATATGGAGTTTATGTACAACACTCTGATAACAATATGATTCTGGTGTGTCTCTATGTTGATGATATTTTGCTAATAGGTAGTAGTTGCCCAGAAGATATAAAGAAGTTCAAAGAAGCTCTGATGAATGAGTTCGAGATGACAGATCTAGGAAAATGACATATTTCCTAGGGATGGAGATTTTGTACTCGAAGAAGGGTATCATTCTGCATCAGTTAAAATACGAACAAGAACTTCTGAAGAGATTTAAGCTGCAAAATTGCAAAGTTGCTGTGACACCATCAGAAACCAATCCAAAATTGGATTCTGACTCTGATGGTGATTATGTTGATTCTACAACCTTCAAACAATTGGTTGATTCTCTAAGGTATTTATGTAATACTAGACCTGACATTTGTTATGCAGTTGGGTTGGTTAGCAGATTTATGAGTAATCCAAAGTGGTCTCATTTCTATGTTGCTATCAAAATTCAGATATATATCAAGGGAACTCTGAGATATGGAGTGTTGTTTCCTTCTGAAAGAAAGACAGAATCAGAACTAGTAAGTTATTCTGATTCTGACTGGTGCGGAGACAGAGTGGACAGGAGAAGTACTTATGGATACTTGTTTAAATTTATGGGAGGTCCCATTTCCTGGAGTTCCAAGAAACAGCTTGTCATGGCTCTGTCAACATGTGAAACTGAGTATATCGTAGGTGTTGTAGCTGCTTGTCAAGTTGTTTGGCTTCTGAATCTCCTGCATGATCTGAAGGTTGAAGTTGAGGAACCTCTGAAGCTGATGATTGATAATAAGTCTGCAATTGATCTTGCCAAGAATCCAGTGCTACATGGAAGAAGCAAGCACATTGATACGAAGTATCACTTTC